GGCTGCTGCAGCTCTTCCTACGGCAGGAGACGGTGCCGGTCCGTGCAACGGCGATCCGAGGGAAGACGTACAATGTTCTTTCAAGTTTTTCCAGAGCTTGGAGTCAAACATTGTGTTTACCAGTTGGTTCTTTTTTGGCTCTTTGAGGGCCCCGGCTTGGAGCTTGCAACGGGCCGCCGGCGACCGGCAGGGTATGGCAGGGTGGTCAATTTTCCGGCCGGGTCTTTTCGCACATCTGAGATCCCTCCATTTCGTTCCTCCAAGGGCCCCAAGATTCCAAAGGAATTGGGAGCGTATGGGAGCGTCTCGACCTGCTTTCCCCGGTCATGGTTCCATGGTCTGCACTCTCGGAAACCGCCACCCTGCAGGGGCAATGTTTCGGGAGCACGTTGGACCGCTTTTCGGTGACTTCGTGGGGTTGGGTCCAATCGCTTGTCAGGCGCTCTGGAGCCATTTGGAGCCCTTGCGTTTACTCCCTGAACTGAGAAGCCGATGGACTGATGCGTTGCGATAATTTCACATATGTAGAGTTCGCAAATATCAGTATGTAATAGACCACAGTATAGCTCGTGCACTGCAGACGTCGTTTCATGTCGTTTATTCAAATCAGTCCAAAATGCCAAGAAATATATGCTGAATGCGGCGAAAACGCCAAGCCTGCAAGGAAATGTTTTAGTTTTTTGGCATCACAGCGAGTGGGGCTCCAAGAAAAAAAGTTGCAAGGGAAGCGCCGAATTTCGTATTTCGCGATCATTCGTGATCAAACAAATAATATCAAGCAAACCATGAGACCAAGCTTCGGAGTGCCGATCAAGCCACACCGCAGGTACAACAATGCAGAACTTTGCCGGCTGATCATAGAGCTTGAAGCACGCACTTGTTCGATCGTGGACAAAAGGGCCTCGCTTTGACGAGATCGATTCGCCGAAGCAGGTTCTGCCAGTGACAGGTGACATCAGGTGATTACAGGTGCGTGTGTTTGCGTGAAGGGATTCAAAAAATATCTTATATATATAAACGTTGTTTTAGTCATTCACTGAAGATTGTACCTTGCGTGACCGTGGGGGAGCGTGACCTTGGGCCATTGGGTCAGCAGAGGATGTGATCAGAGAGTTCGCATTGTTTTGTGTTTGGGAGGAGGTTATTCGACTACCCTTTTGACTCTTTTGACAAATTCTCCTGGAATGTTTCCAGCCTTTCTCTTCACGCTCGGAACCACGGTTTCCACCAGAAAAAAGACACCAAATCCCAGCACAGCAGAATTAAATGTAATTTGCCTACCCCCCCACGTCCCCCCCCTCTATACCAGTGGCCATCTAAAAGGTGACCCGTTTTGCTGTTTTTCCGGCACCTTAACAGTATTGATGTTTGTTCCCCACCTTCCAGGTGAGGGTTGCTGGATTTTATCAGAATTCATGTCCTCCCCCTTACCTTCTCCTTTTTCCGCGCCACCACGACTGCAAGTGCCAGATCGCAGTGGGCACTTTACCGGACCCAATAGCAAGCGCCAGATAGCAGTGGGAGCCCTGCAACCGCTAGCTCCAGATCACAGTGGCGACAGTGGGCACTGCCGGACTTCAACCGCCAGTTCCCGATCGCAGTGGGCAGTGCTGGACCTCAACGGCCAGTCCCAGATAGAAAATGCCAGAATATATGCCAGACAGAATGCCAGAATGCATGCCAGATAGGTTTGCGGCAACTTCGTCAGATAAAACTCAGAGATCCCAGGTGACTGTGGCGCTATGAAGTGGGAATGGCCTACCTCTATGAAATGCCTTTACTGGAGCCACATTAAATATTTCACAGACCGGGGCTGTGTCTCAAACAAAGTTGGCAACCTGGAGTGGCACTTCATAGAGGAAAACCTGGCAAGGGTGATGAACACACCAAAAATATATATATATATATAAACCCCTGATTTCCAGTTTGTAAAAGAGGAAAATCACACTGTACTATTGACTGGTCGATGTTGGCTTGTCATTTGGTAGCGAGTGGGGGCTGGATGCTAAAGATGGATGAGGCCTGGAACCAAAAAGGCCGTTGAGTTGACAGAGTGGTCACCAGTTGTACCAGTGCTACCCTTGAAAAGGGATGACAAGAGAGCGTTTGTTTTGAACTTGTGCCGAGTCCCAATGTATAGTAGACAGTGGCGATGCTGGTGGGATTTTTGCAAATTTGGTTTCCCAGTTCGTAGTGGCAATGTGATGCAATGCGGTATCCTTGATCCGGTAGACATCCTTAGACATTGGAATCTGAAATTCCATTTTGTAGAAAGAACAGACCTGACCCAGCGCGGAGGCCAACCTAGAATTTTTGAATTCTCACCATCTGGGGTGCCATTTCGTGGTAACCCCTGGATTCCCTTTTCATAGAGGTCTTTATCATCATTTACAAATCACTTCATAGAGGATGTGCCAAAAAGAGGATACAAATCAAACATGATTTCATGTCAACTCACTGGAAATCGCCCGAAAAGGGTGGTAGCGTGATGTCTGTCGAGCAACCGCACAGTAGCGTTTTGCATGACATACCATAATGGCATACACGGTCATGACCCCTTCATTAATAAATCGTTGGACGGGAATGTTGCCTACGAACCGGGGTGGGAAAATTTTTTTGTCTAGTTTTGAGTGGGGTGGTTGCATTCGCTTTCTTCTCTGGTTTTTGAAAGCTGCTCGCAATTGCTCACGTATTACGTTGGCCTGGCTGTGGATAGAAGTTTTCCCACCTGGGGGTTCGAAATTAAATGAGTGGTGTGTGAGGTGTCGACGAGTTAGCGGGTGCAGGGCGTGGCCTTAAGCAAAATGTATGGAAAACATATTGTAAAAGACACGTTTTAATAATTTCGTTATCTCCGGCTATGTACTTTTTCAATTAGTCTGTTCTATTCTATTTTAAGAATTGCGGTGGGGCCCAGGGCCGTCCCTCTCCAAGGCAGGGTCGTACAGGGTCACGTACTGTCACGCCTCGCGGAAACGTTCCCGTGCCAAAAGCCATGTGTGTTGGGCAGCATCTGGTTCAACGGTATCATAGGGGCCGACAGGCTCATAGCCAGTGGAAGGTATCAACGATCAAGTGTGGTTTCACGTAGGCCCTTTACTGGCGCAGGGATAAAAATGTCAACTGGGTCGGCAGGCGTCCTAGGAGGGGAGGGCGACGAGTGATGTACCACGCCTCAACCGTCTTCGACGGAACTGACCTGCTCCCCAGTCCCATTTTGTAGCCAATGCCTCCTATGATTGACCGGTGTGTTTCCAATCCACAACTGAAAATGATGTCGTCTGCAGCGGCTCAGCCAGAATTCCTCGTGATTTTTCACTAACCAGCGAGGACACACTAGGGGTTCTTACGGTAGTGGTTAAGAGCCGGTGTGTAATCGGAGGTGTCGCGCGGGCGTGTCCGGCTAATTCGCTGCTATTTACAATGCGCTCATGCCTTTCGAAATCCTCACAGCGCATTTCAACCGCGCAGGCTCGCAAAATTTGGTGGGGCGCGGTGTGCGCTTGTCGTGACTACGCTCTCGTTGTAGTCCCGTGCGCATTTTCGGACATGGTGGTCTCTTTTCGTGGCGGGTGCCAAGGAAACCTTGTTTATTGGTGACCATTGGTGGTCCAAAGTCGACTTAGCGTGACATGGCGGAGCGCTTATACTTCGAAACGTTGATTTCGTTGCCGGCGCTGTTCTCGTGACAGGCGCAGTGCAGTGAACCGTGACTATTGGACATGTGGTTTCCGCACAGGCTGCCACAGCAGTTTGTGAACCTCGAAGTATGGATTTCGTGGCAGGCACACTTTGTGAATCCCGAAAGTGCAGATTTCGTGGCAAACATAGCACCTTGTTGAACCTCGAAGTGCTGATTTCGTGGCAAGGGCAGCGCTCTCACTCTCATTCTCACTTTCATTCATTCATTCATTCATTCATTCACCGCTCAGTCACCCGCTCAGTCACCCACGCACTCACTCACTCCCTCGCTCGCTCCCTCACTCCCTCCCTCACTCCCTCCCTCCCTCCCTCCCTCCTTCCCTCCCTCCCTCCCTCGCTCGCTCACTCACTCACTCACTCACTCACCACCGCCACCATCGCCACGATCTCCATCAGCTCTTTGGACCCCAACAAGTCTAGATCTTTAGACTTGCTGCTGCTACACACACACACACACATTGTTTGGGGTCTCTTGCGGGATAATTTGTGGCAAGTGTTCGATCATTGTGTTCGTTCGGCCGGGGTTGGGTCAGCAATGCGCGGCCCTGAGTACGGCCTTGCAAATTTTCCTACGAAGCCGACATGTAACAATATTTGTGTATGTTCGCTTTGCGTGGACGTTATAAGATGTCAGCAGGCTGGAAAGGCGCGATGCCATTCCTTGCCTTTGTTTGCCACGCAGCAACATGTAAGGTCCCACGCACCCACTGCCATAGTTGTTGGACCGATGTGTTGCTATTGAACATTTCCCACCCCAAGAGTAATCTGGTTTGGAGACATGGGCTTGCAAATATCCGGGCCCTGTTGGTTTTGTGTGCATCACTGTCAGCCAACTGAATTGTTTTTTCATCAGGCACAACATGCCGCAGCCATTGCTCTGGATATGTTTCCACTTGTTGGGCACCACCCCTACCATCTCCTTCAACTGTTTTCTTCCTTGCTACCTTGCGTTTGGTTCCACTTGATCTTGCCCAACTACCTCCGTCCCCAGGCAGTGGAACGGCATATATATATATGCATATATATAATATTTATTTATTCCAGACTGGCAAAAACGTAGCGAACACCCCAACCAAACTGGGATCAAAAGTTCGCCTACGACCACGTCATGGTTGTCCTAGTGCCCGTGTGGTGCTGGAGCCCCGGCGCGCTACAGTCAAGCGCGGCGTGCACGATTTTCGATCGTTGCCTGAATTTGTGCAATGTCATGTGCCGGGATGATTACGCCTACGCCTTCGCCGCTAACCTGGTTCAGTTCCCGCATGATGACGGAATGATTTTTTGGGGTGAGAAGCAACATGTCAACATTTGCCAACATTTTGGCTCTGAAGTGGTGCGGGCTCGGCGTCCGTGCCTGTGCAGACGGTGTCTCAGCCATGTCCAGCGTTCCTTGGACGCAAAATGAAATTTGACATATGTGGGTGATGGTGTCGGTCTATTTGTTCGCGGGTCCTCATAATTTTTGATGTGAAACAAGAGGTAATATATGCACACATCCACATCCCAGGTATCTGATGCTCTATGAAATGCCGATCCCCATCCTCTATGAAACGCAAGAGCATGTGTGATTGATATATCTTGAGGTAACCTTGCCATTCAACTACCCTCAGTATACTTTCAGTGTAGTATGTTTTTTGCAACCATGGCCCAACCATCGTCGCGGTGCAACGCCTGGCCATGCAACGCCCGATTCAAGTGTTAATGTGCATTTTATAGGTTGCAGTCTGTGTTGAAACTAAGGTCATTCACACCCCTGATTTGTGCATTTTATAGTGTCAAACGTTTTCTGTTTGAGAAGTCAGGGTTGGCATTTTTTCAGAGCTCCTGCGGATGGTTTTTTGCAGCCTGTGTCACCCATGCTTGGATGATGATCCAGACATTTTATTCACATTTTTTTTACCCTTGCATTTTATAGTGAATTTATGTTTGGGCAGGCACTTCATAGACACAATTTCTCTATGAAATGCCTGGGTAAACACCCTACCCAACAATTACCGGGGATATGCGCACCACATGTTCAAGCCTGATTGTGCGCATCGATTCCCGTTCTTTTTTGTTTGTTAAGAATTGAAAAACATGGTTTTGCAGGTTGATGCTGCGGCGCGGAACTTGGAAGAAGTTCTTCGTTTGCATTTTGGAGGCGCTTGCATTCCACCTATGGTTGCACACCTTTCGCGAATTTGGGGCAAACACGATGTTTTTTGTGCCGAGTTGCCCGGGTGCAACAACACCTGTGCATGAGATGATTGAGTATGCACATGCATGTCGAAAAATGTTGAGCCATGCGACTTGCCCCTGTTATAAACATCTATACCAGGTGGGTCAACACTCACTGAACTTCAGGAAGAATGGATCTTGCACGTCGAAGTCCCCCGGTCCCGACACAGATGCAGGCAATGAAGCGCTCGGCTTGCCGAGCTCAGTGCCAGTAGCTCCAGCCACAAACTCAGAGCTCTGACAGTAGCAGCGCGTGTGGGTGCGGGGCAGGTTTGCCAAACCAGACTGATGGTTTCGTTGAGATCCTTGAAGGCCGCAAAACTCTGTTTTTCAGGTTGGTTTGTTCGCCTTCGGGGTCCTTCAACACAAGCCCACTGGACAGCGAATTTGATGGGTCTGGTTAAGTGGCTGTTGTATACAAAGCAGGCGGGATCATCTATCCGGGGGGGGGCCTTTTTCAGGGAGTGGTGAACAACCACAGGGACCAAAGCGCGAGGTTTTCCAAAGGTAGCGGAGTGGCCCCACCTGGAACCCAACACATTTTGCACAACAAAAACGGCTCAGCAACGGGCGATGGCCGGCCACTGGCCACCGCCCATCGCGGCGCCAGGCTTTGCGGTGCACCATCCTTTTGACGAGTTTGTTCTTCTCGGTGTTCTTGGCGGCTTCTGGGGCAGCAATGTTAGACGATGTTTTTTGTAGTATCACCGAAGTAGATGAAAGCATGATTCCACAGTCATTATTAAGCGCTGCTTGTCAGGGTTTCCATTCTGGGTTCATTGTTTGTAATTATTCAACGCATGGTGTCATGGAATGTTATGGAACCACTTGCGTGAACATGTTATGTTGTGTTGTGTTCCTTCAGTTGGGTGAAACAAATCCTTGGCAACTTGTAGTACCATACATAGCTTCGTGCTGCATGCCCGTTGCATGCTAGGACTGTTACCTGGGGATGTTGTTCAGCAGAGGAACATCCTTGTATGGCCCTCAAATTAGTTCCATGCGGCATTTGCTTTGCACCAAACCAGGGTTTCTTCCTTCGAACCAATCATACTGTACTCAGCGATTGGCAATCAACTCAACACCATTCCGAGTGCAGGACACATATGACAAAAAAAAAACACCAACAGTTCCAGGAAAATAGTGTTTTAAGACCCTGTGCGTGGATCATGGGCACCCGTACACTCCAATAGACACCTCTGTTGAATTCCTTATTACTTTTTGCGTCACAGTTTGAAGCAACAATGTATACCATTGGGGTCGCCTCTCTTGACTTCATGCGCCCAGGTGATCTCCCTTCGGATGAGCCGCGTGTTCTTGGGCCCTGACAGGGGTCATTCGCTGGAAGCACGGTTGGCAAAGGCAGGGTATGGGGTTGATCCCTGACGATAAAACAGGCGGCTGACATCATGTATACATGAAACCGGTCACAGAGGTGAATAGAAAGGCAAATACGTATTAGAGCATGACAACCATGCCAATGTCGATCCCTGTGCTGAAATCCACCCTACTCAATTGCCTAAGGACAGACACAGAACACCGTCAGATGTTGTCCTTCAAGATTAGAGTTCACTCTCTGTCCTCGTTTGCCCACCTCCAGGCAACGGAAGCGCTGTCCGTGGTGCCGGTGGTTGCTATTTTGATGATTCTTGGCCGAAGTTCGCACGCCTGGTTAAGCACCAACCCGAAGGCACATGTCACGTTGGCACCATGCTGATGCTTTGTTTTGCCTGATGTTCTAAGGATCGGAACTCGGCTACCTTGGCTTGCATATGCTTGCATTTTGTGCGTTCACCGGGTGTTTTTGCTCAAACCGCGAAACTTCACAAACTGATAGGTTCATACAACTTCCAAACTCGTCCAAATTCCAAAACACGACATGCACAGATCTCTACCCACACCAAGAGCTCCGCAGCTAGATCACTCAGGCTTCGCGCGATCCAGTTGGAGGGGGGCCTGGGTGCTCCCCCTTTGTGGGCCCAGCTGTGCATGTGCGACTTGGGACGTGGGCGAGCACGAGAATGGGGCCCAACTGGCCCCTACATGTTGAGTTGGAAGCATGCCTTCTGATCCATCCGAATCCTGCGGTCTTTGGAGGTTTGGGCAGAAAAGGGCAGCCTCCATCCCAAAAAGAACAGGACCATACTAGCAGGGGGAGTTCCCTGTGTTCATGTTATTCCTGCTCACTAGCTCCAGGTATGGTGCCACCCTCGCATGTTTCTTCCGTTTCCTCACCGCCGTGTGCTCCTTCCGCAGCGAGTCGGAGGCACGTCACGACGGAAAGCGGAGGGTTGAACAACTGCAGGTCTTTGTGATGCCACCTAGTTCCTATATATGCGAGTTGTGAAGTCACTCGAACATACATACGTGTCTTATTTAAGCAAATTGCAAAGCGTGAATTTGTTGATTGGAACTGGAACCATGGTTCTTTCCACTTAATTACTCTTGGTTGGATCTCTAGACTCTAGACATATAAATTCAGCAAGATGATCTCCACATATTCTACATTCTACCTGTGATGTTCCACCCACCCTGAAACAACTATTTTTCGCCTGTACGGCATCCAGTTTTTGGAACTTCCCACGGAAAAATCAGCTCCGGCCTGCCCTACTTCTGCCAGCCTCCCGCGCCAGGAGGCCTTGGCGACCGCCCAGGGCATTCGCTCCACGGCCACGGCCATGCTCTTCGTCTGCTGTGCAGCCATTGCGGTGAGCACATTGGTGATGGAGGCACCGAACTGGAAGCGGATCCATTTTTTTGGAAGTTTGATGTGCAATATATAGTAGTTTCCGGTAGTTTCGCACGTTTCAAGCTCATGTGTGCACTTGTGGTCAAGAAATGTCTAGAAGCGAGCACATAAGCCTTGTGCGGACTTTTCTACTCAGCCTTTCGCGCTTGGATGAGGGGTTCATCAACGGTTCATCCATTGAGGCCAAGAGTGGTGACAACGAACCTTTGGGTACCATGATGCAGTGTGCCTGGGCGAAGTGAAGACTTGCTCCGCTGAAGGGACAAACAACACTTTGGGGCCGAGAGTTCTACGGGAAATCGTCGAAGTGGTATGCATAAAAGGAGATGGGTGAAGGTTCATAATCACCTGGGTAAACCATCCTCATTCTGCGGGGATGTCCAATTGTGGTAAGATTCCTTTTGTTTTGCAAGGTTTTTGTTTGATCAGACCTTCGATGCGTTCTCATTTCTATGCTGTACAGTTGGTGATTACTTGAGCTTTGGCCCAGAGAATGGTCAACATGAAGTGCTGTTCCGCTCCTGACGCTGTAATCACCTGTGGGTGGTGGTTTCAGATACCTTTATTTTCAACATGTGTCAACCTTTACTTGAAATCAATCATCCCACTGACTAGTAGCGTCTAATCACTATGTTTACAAGTGAGTTGAAACCACCGACCACCAGCAGTGTTCCATGTTGTTTCGTGCTATCCATGGATTTTCGGTTGGGGGTGCCCCTGTTCACATCCACTGGATGGGACTACGCAGGATGTTCACGTCCACCCCTGCGACTCCTGGCGGACCTCTTTTCCAAGCAGGTATGCTGGCGCTGACCGTGGCCTACTTCACCGAGACCGGGGTCCGCGAAGTCTTCGCAAAGGTGCAGAAGCCAGAGGACGGGGCGTCCGTGGGATGGACGAGGAGGACCGTGCTCGTTCGCCACGGGAAAAAACCGAAGAAGCGATCATGAACACATCACATGAATCACATGCATGTAATGAGTCATGAGTCATGTGAAAAACAGTAAGCGCGATAGCTTTTCTCTACCCGGGAGATGCCCCAATTTAAATTGGAGGTCAATTAAGATTAACAATTTGCCCTTTGCTTGAAGCATTTAGGTGTTGTAGAGAATCTGGGTTTGGGACCGTACGGACGGGTTTCAATTTGGTTCCTGCATCAACTCCTGTGGCAACGGAAGTAAGCTTTGATCGAGCGACAAATGATCATGGGCGGGGGCCTTACGCTCCCTGAAATAATCATGGACGTGGAAAGGTTTGCTCTTTGGTTTCTCACTTCCATGATTAGTTCAAGGAGGGTAACTCTTGACATATTACAAGTCTAAGTGTGGTATATGTGTGTGTGTGCGGAGTAGTTACCTTGCACGAAACCATGGCCACACACACTGCTCGCACCAGTTCTACACATGTTCTGCACCTTTTGTTTGCCCTTTGGAAGCGACCACCCTAATTATATAAATTATACAGATGCCGTATACCTGTAATTTTGTTTTCTTCTGGGAGCAATCCCTTGGGTGGAGGAAAAGCATCGAAAGAAGGTCCAGATGCTCAGTTTCCGGAAGTTCGCGTAGATCAAAAAGCCACCACTGTTGGACTTAAACTTAACTTACCCTCTACACGTCCAGTCGGATCCCAACCTGGTTCTTGACATTGACCTTCATTGGCCGGGAATGGGAAAAAACAGATCAGATCTAGTTTGTCCCCATGCCATCCCAATAATTCCAATCTGTGGCGGCCGCAGTCTTTTTCGTGTCCGTTTACAGCCGATCCCCCAAGACCTAGGGATTGCATCCCCAGACCCCTCCGATAGTGTTTGGTATGCCGTTGGGATCCAGCGGTCAGGACCCAGCGCCGTCCTATGGATCCTTTTCTCCCACCTCACAGGCGGAGTGCCGGAGTGCCATCGGGGGTCAGAGAGACCGAAATCGGAGCAATGTCCTCAACAAATTCGCTTCATGATTGTCCAAGACCAGATTCCATGATGCTTGTTTTGTTCTTTTCAGGGTCCACTCTTGCTTGCGAGGGTGCCTTTTCTTCATGGGTCTCCCTGTCACTTGTCACACATGGATCTTAGTAGCATCTAGCACAGCAAACAGAAAAGGACATAGGCTGAGAGATGAGAAGAACCTATCCATGCTGTATGTTGAGCACTCACCTTATAAGGTCCTAAGGTGCTCCAGTTCATGTTTCAAGCTTCAAGAGGATTGACTTCTATTGACTATTGTGTGATGTGGAATCTTTTCTCAACACTGTGTTATCTTTTTCTTTCACCTCAAAGAGCTGGCTTTGGAAACCCGCAAGTCGCAAGCCATCCCAACTTCCAACCCCAGCTGGTACAAGTGCTATACTGGGTCATCCAAGACGCTTACCACCCAGCTCTTGCTGTTTCTGCACGCCGCTATGGCTGCAACAGCGCAGCCATCTCAACAGGATCGCATGAAACAAAGCGTTCAATTACACCACATATGTTTTGGGGTATACTGCAGGCCCATCTTACAGGTAGAAATGATGAGCTGGATTGCGCAGGATTGTGTCATGCGCTATAATCAGCTGTGTCTTGTCAAGATAGCCCTGATGCCCGTGTTTCCGTTTCTCAACAAGACCATCCCTTCCAAGCCATCGTGCTTCAGCCACTTCAACGGCCTCCCTGCCAATCAACACACGCACAATCATGCACACATATCATGCAGTTGTAAGGCGACCATCCCCTGTTCCCCCACTTTTTCCTTCTTTCCGGAAGACCAAGAAGTCGACGACACCGTTACGAAAGCCGTGTCGTCATGGCTTTCGGAGGAAGAGGATTTGTTGGCCCTCCCAGCACGAGTCTCTTTGCAGCCGCCTGGCCTTGAATAGTGGTGCCGTTGCTTTCAAGGCAACTATGACGGCAACAAAAATGTGGAGTAAGAGTAGATGGCACAATCCCCATGGTGGTTTAATGTGGTTTATATGGGTCCTCACCTCAAAAACCTTTGGGGGCTACTCTGCCCCAGGTTGGGTATTCTGTCTCAGCGGGTCTCAAAACAAGCAGGCCTTCTACATCAGTCCAGGAGTTAATGCACTCTCCAAGCATCTCAAGAATGCTAGTGATGAGGAGTGGGCAATGGATCTTCATGTATCTTCACTGCCCTAGCCAACATGATCTCTCCAAAGATGCGAAGGGCTATCATTTTGGAACACGCCTACATGATTGCTTATTGCAGCTAGGGCAATGGTGGAACACACCAACCTGACATGACCCGACCAGAAAAATAACTGTCAAATGCATTGGCGTGTTTGCTTATGCAACCCCGGTCCCACCGCCTATCCCTACGGAGCACAAACAGTCACAATAGTCACAAGTTTTAGAGTGTGTCTTGACATGAGAGGTTAAGTGACCTATAGACGTCTGAGTCTTTTTTGGGTCCTTCAATCTTTCTTTGTGTTCAATTCAGAATGCATCGACCTAGACCTACACGGTCAAACGCTTAGTCAGCTTCAGCATGGAGAAGCTCCGATCCCATCCGATTTCGATCTCCCAGCGGTTTTTGCATTGGTACATTTTGCATTTGTACAGATACTTATCATATATATATAGTGCATATATATATATATCTTATATAGTACATTTGTATAGCACAAAATTACACCCATCATAAAATGATGTTCACAATATGCATATGCTTTTACATTGACTCCCGAAGACCACCACCCCAACTGATCGACAAATATGGCAGTCCCATGGGGTGTTTGTGTAATAGTTCAGTATATTCCAGGTGACACCTTAAACTTAACCTTCAGCGGATGACATGTCATTCATGACTGGCTTCTGTATCTAATTCTCTTGCCCTGAGGTTCCCACCGATGCTGTGCGTGCTTTTTGTGGCCATCGCCCTTCGTGCTGTCCAGTTGCACTTGGAGCCCAGGCGGGTTTCAGATTCATCAGTTGTTCAAATCAAGTTCCTGATCTTCGCCACCACATGGCTGTGGGCCACCCCACCATGCCGCATGGAGTTGTGGGAAACACCCGGCGTCCCCGCACAGGTTTTGGGCTGTTTGCGCGACCTACTTGTTCCGAGCTCAGAATCAGAAGTGAGTTATGCTGCAAGGGCTCTAGTTTTCAAACTTTTCGAAGCCTTTGCAAGTCGTGGGGCGTCCATGCGAAACAGATACATTCCCTAACAGTTGCCAGCACATGTTCGACATTATGCTTACTATTGCTTGGATTTCTGAGCAGGGTCTTTGGAATGGTTCTAGGCTCAAGGTTCAACATCAAATTCTCGCTGTTTTTCATTCAACTTGATGATGATTTTTGGTGTTTTTTTCTGCACAGGACTACCCTGGCCACCGTTTTGCAGCAACTGCGCTCAACTATGCTCTTCATGAAGGCCGGGTCCGTGCAGATGACGCTGACACACCTGGGCAGGCTATTCTACACCCCATCCTTCCGGGTGCCAGGGACCAGAGCCGTTTGCAGATGTTGAACCCCCCCGGTTTGAGCTTCCGAGACCTACTGAAGCCCTACAGGTTCAGTGTGACCCACATCCAGTCTCCGGGGCCTGAATCACCTCATGGCTGCAACTGAAGTGCCTTTTGCAGCCCTACGCGCAGCCCGCCGCCCATTTTTCTGTCTACCTCCGGTCCCTCAAATGCCTAGTCAGGGCTTTCAAGACAACCACCCCAAGAATCTTTGGTGCAGCTCTATGTCATGCTTCATGCTTCGAACCCAAAGCTCGACCCCCAATCCTCAAATATTCCTCCCCACCCATACCTCACCCACAAAAACTCGACCCTCCCCTAGGCCCTATACCGGTCCTTATCATTTCCATTTCTCCGACTCGCGAGGAGGGCAAGGGTTCGCTGCTGGGCGACGAAGCTGCTGGGCCGGTGCCTTTGGCCGCACTGCTCCGCTGCGGACGGGGCGACGGGAAAGACGTCCGACCGACCTCCGGACCTGGGCGGCACAGGTTCGGTCCCCGGTGTTGGGGCCCGGTGTTGGGCGTGATGGATTTCAGAACACGGACCATGTGGACCACCATGGTGTAGTGAGGAGGGGTTCAGAAAGCAGGTGAAATGAGAAACACTTCATTTTTGGATTGTAGGGGATATATGATGATAATAATATATGAGAGATTATATTGCACATTCTTATAGAGAAGTGTTGGTTGGGCGTTGCCCTTTGGATGGTTTTGAGAGAAGTGAGCCCTAGAACCTGCATGGAGAACGAGGGCAGGTGCCCTGGACGATGACGTGGTGATTTCCTGAATTATCTACACAAGACCTTCTTGCAGGGTTTGTACTAAGGCCCTTGGCTCTTTGTTCCTCAAGTATTTCGCACGTTTCTCCGATCCAACGTGAGCAGCCCACACGCGGAGAGAATGGCCTCTCATTCTTGGGCATCGAAGCCTTCTCGCCCGCGCCGGGTGCACGCCCGCGCGGGGTTCTGAGGCCTTTTGCCCTACTGACTCGGACCAAAAGTCGAAGATCTTCTGGTCGGTGACCACCTGCTGCATTTATGTCTGGGCCCAAGAGCCTCAGGGGCTGCCCAGCCTTCGGGTTTGGACTTGAGGGGCTGGGAGGTGTCGGAGCGACGACTGGTGACTCTATAGTGAACTACTGTTCTCCTAGAGCCTGCTTAGGGTTAGGACTTGCTGGGGATGAGGTGGGACAAGAATGTGCCTCTAAATGTAGACTCTAAATGTTGCACAAGACAAAATCCCCGCATGTTGATTATGATCTTGGGGAAGGACACGTGCATTATCGATAGCAGAATTTGGATTGTAGCTCCAGTGGTGAGACTCGGTAAGAAATAGTCTTTGAACCCTTCCCCAGAAACCATGAGGCTCAGGATGATCCGCAATGGCTTTCTTCTCGACAGATCCAGAGCACGAAGGACACTCCCATCACGGGTGAAAGAACACGAGCTCCATATCCACAGTTTGTGGACTCTGTGGACCCTCTGGGTGTTTTAATATCAAAAGAGGTAGACCCACACCCAGGCGTTCCGGCCCCCCTGCGGTCCAGAAACCGGGCCAGGTCGACCCAGGACCGGCCTCGTGAAGTCCGGGGAGCGAAGTCCGCTCTCTCCGCGCCAAGGCCGGCACCACCTTGATCCTGCTCAGCGTGGCCAGCATGGAGTTCGGCGCCCCAAGAGAGGGAGTTCGGATACCTTCTTGGGAGGCAGCCAGTGGGCCTCACAGTCAAGAGCCCCAAAAACGAAGTAGAAAGTACTCAGTCACTACTGGAAGGCGGAACTTGAGGGTGATTTAACTTTCTTTCTCAGACCCCCTGGACTAATTACCGAGGTGCCATCTCCACCAAAACCCCCCCAAACTTCCCTTTAGCCCGGCCAGCGCGTAGTTCTTCCGCGATGCACCTGCTGGCCCTAGTTTTCTCGTGGTGATCGCACGGTTCAACAGTGCAGTGCCCGCGAAGCACCGTCCCTTGGGACCTCGGGACTCATTGGTGGCCAACCTCCAAATCGTCCCCATATTTGTGGACCAAGATGGAGCGTGGAAGAGATGCAGCGACTTCTTGTATAGTACTCTTCCGTACTTGGTATATAGATGTATATAGTACGCCTCCATGACTCACGCGTACTTGGTATATAAATAAATGTATATATTCGATGTTGTATATAGTCCCTGCAAATCCTAGCGTCCAATAGTGTCCGACACAACAGACGCACATGAGCGTGCGCAGTGTAGGTCTTCACTGTGGGACCTGCAGACTTCCTGATTACTAAGCTTCAGCGAAGGAACGCGGTATCCGAAGACGAGCCGAAGATGAATCCCATGTGGCCTGAAGGAAAAACACGCTGCACAACGCGTCACGACCCAGCCCGGAGTATTGAACTTCATTGGCAACAACCCACTCACATCCAGGCCTCACCAGCACATTTGGCTGACACTCCAGAATTTGTTTGCCATCACATGTCCTTTCAGTAAATTTGACATACACTGCCCGAAATCATCATCATAGAAGTGAAGTTCCCCACCTGTTTGGCATTCGGATTTCAGGGTCATCCGAAATCGGGGGTGGCTGCGGCGGCTGCCATCCACTTCCAGCATGATTCCAGGGAGTGCGCTATAATTGGCTGCTTAGCACTCTCAAACCTCCCCAGACCAAAAAGAACAACTGGTGAAGCAGTTTCGATTCTGTCGACCCGTTTCCCGGCTCCACGAGTTGCCATCGATGATGGAACATACCCTCACATGTGAAAACCACACGAAAGCATATCAAAGCCACGATGGGTGTCATTCCAAACAATCTTTTCCCAACCGACGTCAACTGTTGAATTCTTGTTACTTGCTTGTTGCTTGTTTTTCTTGGCGGGTATTGGATGTTGAATGATGTCTTTGTGGCTTTTAATGTTACATGAACCAACCTGGTCGGCGACACGGACCCAGAATGACCCAGATCTCAGGTCCAAGGCCTCCGCTGCAGCCTCGGCCCCAGCGCCCCTCTCGACGGCCATGTGCTGCGTGATGGCCCTGCAGCTTGGATTGGATGTTGAGGACCCAAAGTCAACCATAAACCGCCAATTCCCTGAATCAGCCAACTACAATTTCTGGAATCCTCATGGAAGTGGAGCTGTTTTATTTGGTATTCGCAACATGGTCATCCGAAATCGGGGCCATACTACTCCACGTAACCATGATTCCAGGGGGAACAACCCTCCCCACAGAATCCCAACACCATCGGACACCGACGTGATAGATTTTTTTCCACTAAAAGCCATTGGAAGTAATACCCCCCCTTGCCTGGTACACCGATTCCCCTTGGTGATTTAGAACTCATTTTGGTCCAGCTCTGAAGTCCCAAGATTCAGTAGGCACTGAGATCTATCATTGAGATGGTCCTTACCGTGAATCTACGGTACGTGAGCAGACGATCATGAAATTGTGCTGCAGCTGAGCACAATTTGACCAGCTCCGGCGGTAGATCCCACAGATTGGTGTGCTTTGGTGCAGGATTGTCTTTTATACGTATAAGGGTGGCCTAGAGATGTCTCCTTCATGACTTCACTCTTTTCCACCCAGATATGCGATCTCAGTGTCTCTGACCTATTCTATGGAAGGTGGATGAGAATCAGAATGAGACGTGATCACTAGCCCCAGACCTTGCCGTACCCCATGAAAATCTCCCTCCGATGGGGTCGATCAGACACATGGTGTGATCGATGCAGCGGTACGTAGGGCGATCTCCACCAACAGCGGCCGAGGACAGTGGTCTACTTCCTCACTTACCTCTTGGTGATGGCCGGTAGCCCCTTGCCTTGGCGTTTGTGGGGCGAGGTCTCGTTCCAAATGGGGTGGCCATCGGGGACGGGAAATGGCCCTAAGACTGTGGGTTTGGCCAGGCTCTTTGGGTGCGTTGCAGGCTGAGATTGGCCGAGAGGGATTACTGGTTTGCTGTAAATGTTTTTACCTGCTCGATGTTGACTCCTGTTATTAAGCCGTTTGTACACTCCAGGTTTTAAGGCTCCAGAGTCATCATGAAACCACAAAGAGAGCTCTAAGGTCTTAGGCACCTTCGGGGCACCTTCGGTTTGTCGTCCCAAACATGCCGCATGTGATCGCCTTGATTTGGGGTTAGCGTTTTCAGCGTCCATCAGACTTCAACCTGAGACCTGCAGGGATTTGTTGCTTCATGTTCCGCTGCAGGCCTTTTGCGTCAATTCTTTGGCACTTGGGCGCAGTCCACAGCCACTGGAGTGCAACGCGCACTGGCGTTTGCTCCCATGCTTTGTGTGATGATGATTGGTCGGCCAACTCAGTGGGTTTTGACACACGATCGCGTGCGGTTGGAAGTAGCCCGTCGGCGACAGGTTTGGGAGGTCATTTTGTGTTTTCACACTGGAGGCTTCTACAGTTAGAGGAAAACCGTGCGCCTTCCATGGAAGAGGTCAGATTAGGGAATCTGAGGTTTTGATGTGACTAAAAAAAGGCATCCCAAATCACAGATCCAGAACTTGTATTTGGCCACACTTCGTTATGGAATGTTCCTGACACTGCTCATGGGTCGATTTCAACTAGTAACTCTCACATACTCTAACCCTTGGACCTTCTATGACCCTCTATATCTAGCAGGGCTCCGCATGCTCCAAACCCTTCGCGTCTGTGGCACGGGCACCGGAGTTCCACGTCAGGCGTGCGCCTGCGAGCCATGCAAATCGGAGTGCGCGATCCGCCGTACTGGGCGCAAGTGTGCATGGTGGTGTGGAAGCTCAGGAGCGAACACGTGAGGGTCAAGTAGTTTGGAGGAGTGCTCTAAACCGTAGAAAGGTAGAACTTATGTCAGCCTGGATTGAAGAACAAGAAGGTGAAAGAGGATCACGAATAGGTATATGATAGGAATTGCTGGATGTGGCTGGGCTCAACTGTTGATCTCGTAAAGGTGCACTCTCCGGAAACACATCCTTCATGTCGACGCTTCTGATTCGCCAAGACCATCTCTGAACTGATTTGGGTGGTGGGCCCCAGGTCCGGCCCAAACAGACAGGCCTAAAGCGGCCCGCGCTCAGGTGGCGACCGGTGCTGTGATCACGCAAGTGAGCTGCACCATTCTCACGGAGAGCGAGTCGGGTGCCGGCATGGTCGACAAGGCACGTGGTGAGCGATGGTGAGCGCAGTCGAGCGGTTTATCGAGCGGTCGGAGTCCGGAGATGAGAGCGCCGGTCGAGATGAGATGTTCACCAATGGGGAGAGGGGGGGGATGGCAATGGACAGTCCTGGAGCTGCCACGAAGCTGCTCAGGATGCTGCCACGAAGTTGATGCTGCTTCTACTGCTGGGATTGCGATATGCAGCGGAGCTCAGAGTTTGAGAGTTCGAACGGATGAAGCCTGTGGAGGTGGCATGACCCAGGACAGTGAGAACTGTGGAAACTGTGCAAACCTTCCAAGATGGGGCCCATGGATTTGTGGTGTTGATCAAGGCCAGTGCAAATTGGACATGGACATCCTATGACTGTTGAACCAAATCCCACCTCCACCTCCGCCGCGTGCACCGTGCACCGAGGCCGCCTCAGCTGTTCTCTTCGTCAGCGTCGCTTCGCTGATGATCTCCTTGGTGTCTCGGACGAGCGCCGAGGGGTCCGATCCACAGGGGGGATGACCCACGATCGGTCAGGGGTCCAAGGACCGAGGAAGACCAGCAAGACGACCAGCTGGAACGGAAGACGGAAGAATGACGCTCCCGAAAACAAGGAATATGGGCCCTGAGTAGACGGTTTTTGTAAAGAAAAACCAGGACAAATCGAGGGAATTCCTCACCTCCCGGCTGGGCTGACCTGCTTGGCAGCTCAGCTATGCGGGAAACACTCCTCAGCTGAAAAGCATCCCTCCTCTGACGCCGAGTCGTAGGACTTTTGCTTTAGTCCCATGGGATGGCCTCAGTGAAGGTGGAGCGTCCTAACCTCGATCCAGCATAAGAATATTTAAGATCAACGGATCATATACGTGTTAGTTCAATTAAGTTATATATTGATGTTACTATATAATGATACTAGATGATACTAGTAATGATATGTCTCAAAGTTTGGGGTTAGTTTTGTAATTCGTTTGTAGGTGGCCATGATATTTGGAGTCGTTTGAGTCACGGTGCAGCCGTTTGAGTCGAAGTCGAAGACCTTTCATTTATCGAACTCATATAGTTTTGATTAGTTTTGCAGTCGCTGTGCTTGAAGCCTGCGAGGGCGGGGTGCCAAGCGTATTGCATGGGTATCTGAATATTCAATCCCCACAGTATTGCTTGAGGGTAGGGCTTCGAGGATTGAATCTTCACATGCAGGTGTTGAGGCTTGTGAAGCCTGTGAGTGGTTGAGACTGCAACTTGGTGTTTTCTGGATCTGCGCGTAGGTCAGGTGGTTTGGGCGTGCCTCAGGATGACTGTGGAGGGTCGGGTCACCTCGAGTGTCACCTCTCTCTCCTGGCCACGCTGCTGGAACACGGCAAGGCCTGGATGCAGCCGGTTCTCGAGTGAGTGCAGGTTATCGGGTCACAGCGACCGAAAAGAGAGAAAAGGAGGGCGAGGGGAAAGAAGCGTGCATATAACTTCCTAGTTATGTCTACCCATCTTATACTATGTGATGTTTCTGAAGACAGGTGGAGTTTTGCATGGTGAGATTCTGTCATGTTGTGTCTATGGGAAGGAGGCGCCGAACATATCATTAGCTTTGGGGGTTGGGGAGGATCTATTGCCAAGCATGATTTGATGCTAGCCTCCACAGTAGCCTGCACCTTCGAGAGGCACTAGACGTTTGATGTGCGCCTTTGGCTCAGCAATCAGCCCACCCTCCACCGTAACTCCTTGGCGGACGGCGGGCGGTTGCTCCTCCACGATATTGCACCTCGGACCGCAAAGGGATGGGCCCAGTTCAAGTTATAGTGGTGTTGCATGTTCAGGAGGGCTTAAACCTGCAAGTTTTATAACATTTAGTAACATTTGAGGAAAGTTAATCGAGCTACCCCACTTCAACCCATGCACGGGTCCACAGTTGTCGAAAGAGAATGACAAGAATGCTTGAGCATGGAGTTCCATGCCCATGTTCAAGGCATGCTACCAAACTGAGTTGAAAGCCAAGGAAAGAAACACTACGAAGGCTTGGGAGCGGCAGCAGACTGTGTGCAAGTCACCGCAAGATGTTGCGGAACGAGAGAGCGGACCTGCAACTTTTGCAGCACGACACGCCGGAACCGGCGAAGCGGCGCCAGGATGTTCAAAACGGTCTTGTTCATTTTCTTGCAGGCAGGTGGTTGCTCTCTTTCAGGTCCCATGAAGCGAAAGAGAGAGAGAGAGAGAATCCTTCGAGATCTTTCGAGTCACTTGTGAATGCTGTCATTATAGGGGTGTGGAGCTGTTGACATACCGTGCAACACGAAACAACCAGAAGCAACCAGGGTTGACTATGTTGACTTGACCCACCCCCCAACCCGATCTCCAGCTTCGCCCTGGACATCCTCGGAAGCGGCCAGGTGGTGGTGTCCCGTCGTTTCTCCGTGCCGCTCTCGCGACAAGTGGTGCCGGTGAAGGTGGGGCATCGAGGGTGCTGAAGTTCATGACCCGGGTTCCGAGACCCCACATTGGAACCTGAAAATGGAGAGACACATGGAACCGGGCGCCGGCACGGACCAGACTGGAAGACGATGTTCCAAAGACCAACCCAGTCAGTGGGTTTTTTAAGGTTTCAGGGTCTCAGAACACGGGTGTTATCGGTGGCAGGCCATCAGCACCTGACGTTGGTCACCGGTTCGGCTAGCCGGGTACCCAACCCGGCTGGGCAGAAACCTTCGAAGGAGGAGATCTGTAGAGTCAGGTGATGGCAGAGCTTCGTGAGGTGTTCAGTTCCAAGAGTTCCAAGGGATGTTCCAAATTTACTTGGACGATGCCGCGAGTGCCTTGTAGGGCATGTTTCAATGGGCCTTGTTGGCGGATTGTTGTTCCGAAAGAACAGGGGGAGGAACCGCAGAAGCATACTGTATGTACATGTCACGTCTTTTGAGGCGTGAAAGATCTTCAAAGCTTTTTTGGGGGAAGTTGGTGGCCGAGAGAGGTTAAGTGACCTGAACTAGGACCCTACTGAAATACCCAACGTCTAGGGTTCCTCAACCTCTGTTTGGAGGGTATATATTGAACGCTGGTGGAGTCAATGGAGAATGTCCTGTGCTTCTTTGCTTCGTCCATCACTCACCAAGGGCGAATGGACTAGCCACGCCGACGGAATCCAGTGGCGAGAAGTAGGGCGGGGGAGTTGATGTTGGTCCCAGTTGATGCATCCCCCGAACTCTCCCCGGAGACCAGTGGAACTAGCTGGACCCCTCTTTTTGTCCCTGCAGTGGTGAACCATAGTTCAGTGATGTGAGCCTCTCTTGCTCGGTCGTCGGTGGGACATATTTTGACCTTTGACCATGTGCCTTTGACTTGGAATCCCACGGACTCATACCTTTTCCCGGTCCCCCATAGGGTGTGGCCGGAGATCCATGTAGTAATGTGGACTCGGGTCTTCCAGCTAGAGGACTCTGACAGGAACATCCTGGCATTTTTTGGAACCCTAGGCCCTAGGGCTCCAATTAGAAGGTGCGACCGGAGCCCTAGGGGAAGCGATATTCACCCACCAACTGGCATGAGCACCGACAAGCCCCATCAGTTCCAGCCAAGCGTCAGGTGAACGGGCAAACGGTCTCGCAGAAGACCGCCTACTACGGAAGCCTGGAAGCCGAGGGAGGGCCGATCGTGGAGTAGGCCTACTCGGTGGCGGGAGTGGTGGCTTGATCCTGATCCTACGGCCTCAGCCTTTTTGATCTTGTTTGGTGTGTGCCACTGGAGCTGCTTGGCTTGAAACTGGCCCATCAGGCGCAACATGAACATGAGTCGACATGCATTTGCAATCATTTGCATAGATGATAGCGTTTGCATGGCCAGCTTGAGATTTCAACAGAAATGCTGCACAAACAGACGACCTGGAACACCCGCAGGCTTCACAGCTCTTTTGACATGTTGTACCTCGTGGGGTATTTACAGGAGAACTGCGAACTGCAAAAGCAAGCTTATAAGATGTAGAGACTGGCCCCCATTGACATGAACATACCGACCCCATGTCTTTTCATCCAATGCATAGCTGGTTTTAGGCGGTTTTCCTCGGCCACCCGAGGTCTTTTCGTCTGCCTGGCCCAGCCTTAGCGCCGCGCTGCGCTCGTGCCAGCGCTGCTCCCCACCGGGTCCCGGTTCACGCGGAGAGTTCGCCAGGTCGGGCACCCGCGACCGCAGAATTTCACCGTGGTCTTCGATACAGGCGCGCCGGTAGGACCGACGGGCCGTAGGACCGACTAGCCGAGCCGACACCGGGCGAATGTGGTCTTCTTCGGATTCGGAAACAGATGGAACGTTTCTGGCAGAAATTGGTTAGGTTGGAATTGCTATTCTATTATGTTTCAATCCGATTCCATGCTTCAACCCCAAGCTCTTTCCGGGACCCAGCGAACCTCCACAGCTCCGACCCGCTCTTGAGCTGGTGTGCTGCTGTTGCTTTGGCCAAACTCAAAGAGAGTTAGAGAATTATGGTTGATGGCTGATGGAAAATGAATGAACATGTCATGCAACTCTGTACCAGGACCCCACCGATTGAATCCAATTGAGACCTCAGACAAGGCTGCCACAACCCTCAAAAAAGGGACTTGTTGGAGTGTGGAAAATGGTGAAGCCACTGCCACTGCAGAGTGCAGGTGCCAATAGTAATTTTAATATACATATGAAATGAACATGTTAATAGACATACCTGGATCAGCCATCCTGGGTCACCAATAGACTACCCAGCACTCCAGATCCTGGTCTAAGCCAATGAGAAAGGCAGCCAGTTGCAGCAGCACGGCGGCGAACCGCGCTTCGCGCTTCCGTGAAGGGATTCACCCCACGAAATCGGACATGAATCCATCGCCAAGTGGGATGCTCTGGCGCTGACCGAAACTGGCTCGTTGGCTTGGGCACAGCGACTCAGCACAGCAACTCAGCAGTGGATGCCTCAAACCAAGACGATCCAATTGGACGCCCACCAGGTTCCGGCCATCTCTTTCTTCCGGACAAGTCCTGCGAGGCCGGGTTTGTTGGGGGTGAAGATCACCCCCTTGATGGGCTCTATGCTTGGTTGGCCTTTACTGACCAAGCCTTTGAGTCAGTGGATTTGTTTGGTTGGGCTCCTTGACCCATCAGGTGGCCACTGCACTTTCCAGGACCATCCTGTCTAGAGACACCGGACTATCCAGCCTCCCAGCCTACTACTATACTTAGGCATCTCCAGACAGGACACCCAGATGGTCAGATGGTCCAAGTTCATTTTCTTCTTCTAGACCCTTCCCCTCCTCCCTCGCCACTTCTCCCCGGCCAGGATCGCGTGTGCCCCACCCACACCCGCTATGACCGTCAGCAGTCGGCCCGGGAGCCCGAGCGCCTCTTCCCGGCGAGGTGTCGCTCCAGCCGGTCGTCCGCGCCAGGCCTCTGCGGTGGAGATCAATGGCGATGGGAGCCCCACCAAGCAGGAGCAGGGGACCCTAAGCCGGTCATGCGGCTGTAAGGAGCTACCAAAAAGCCACCTTTAGCTACAAGTGAGAACTGAGAGGTTCGACACTGCCCTGACGTTTGTTTGGGTCACCTTCACAGTGATTTAAGGATGATGTTCATCCATGAGCAAGACCAGCTGATTTGCGCAGCACGCGGATGTTTCTATAGGAGGAATTCGAACGATGTTGAATGTTCTTGACTCAGCACATCCAACATCACATCACACATCATAGAACATCATAGAACAGATATATACCCCCCAGGGAAACTTGCTAGCACATCGCACCCCATAACTCCGCATGTTGCCATATGTTGCCCATCTTTACAGCACAAACATCAATCTTTCGGGTGGTGGTCTCTCACAACAACGCTCCACCAGCGGACCACGTTCCACTGAAAACGGCCACACGGAAGCAACACGTTCAACAGTGCAGCCATCAGCTTGACTGAGGCCCGGAAGGTTTGTTTGCCAAGTGTGTGGAAGTAGGACCTCTGGACGTCTTGTGTTGGAGCCGTTGGCAGAATCCCACCACCTACATAACTATTGGGAGGTGAGATGACGTGATTTCACCATCCTCGAACTCACAGTTTCCTCGCCATGGCGTGGACATAGCTGGAGTATCCCCCTTGACAATTCCCTGATGAAATGGGAGACCTTAAGGCCTCTATATATTTGTTTTTAGTGGTGTGTGTTTTTGTGACCTCAGGCACTCTCATTTTGTGGAGGCACAGATTCAACATAGACATTGGGGAAGGTCAATCTGTAGTATTTTCACTTAACTTTTAATATACGACATATGAAGGTCGTGCAGTTGCATTTTGTAAAGGTCATGAGAATGAAAGTGTAGGGCAGTGCTTGAAGATCCAAATTAAGATCAGGAAGGTCGTGGAGTAAGTTTGTCTATTTGCAGTTTCCTGCCAAGTTTCCTTTTGTTTGGCAAGGAGCCCATGCCAAAATGCAAGAAATGCTGGCCTCAAATCGGTGTTCATTTGGGCCTCTCAAAAGGAATTTTGTGCAAGCATTTCTTGCGTCATGGCCTTCCCTGGCCAAGCAAAAAGGAAATTGCAACTTTTTCCTGTACATTGACTGCGTTAGCCTCCTGCCGCATTTGCTTTTGGCCTCGAATTCCATAGAAGATGTAGCTCCTAGATCTCAGGTGTTTCTTTAAAGTGATTTCAAGACATCATCGCATTTTGTAGAGAATTCGATGTGTGTAGACGATGGTGCAGATACGGAGCTCAAGCTTTGTTTAAGACATTGCATTTTGTATTGAAGTCGTTGGCAAAACCACAAACAACCGGAAGTGAACATTGACCCTATACATGACTCTACAAAATGCAGTGAATACACTGGGAACTCCAAAAGCAAAATAAAAAACGGCACAAAAAGAAGTGGAAACACTTGGGTTTACAAAATGCTTGGAGTTTGATGGAATGTGTATTTTTTGTTGTTTCCTGCAGCCAAGAGAGATTCCCTCAATCCCTTTATATTTGCGCTGGGTGCCTCCCGCCGAATCTGCTTTGACCTTCTGGGCAGCAGCATCAGTAGAGAGTGTAGCTCCTGGAGACGAGGTGTGTATAGTTTGGGATTTTGTAGGGGACTAGCCGGCAAAAGAGCCAACGACAAGAAGTGAAAGCGAACGCTACAAAGTAGAATGGATACGCTGCTACCTCTGAGCCTTTCCAAATGTATTGGATTTACAAAATGATTGGACTTCCATGGGGGTTGTCCTTTTTCCTGTAGTCAGAAGAGATTGTCTTTGCCTTTGACTGCACTTTGTGCCTCCTGCCACATTTGCTTTGGCCTTATTGAATTCCATAGAAGATGTAGCTCCTGGAGCTCAGGTGTGTTACTTTTTTTTGTGAGTTCAAGACATCTTATGTTGTAGAGAATCCGATGGTAAGAACCACTGCAGACAGGAAGTAAAGATGTGCTCTACAAAACGCAGTGGATAAACTGCTACCTCTGAGCCTTCACTGAACCATATGGTACTAGGTGGTTAAACATCTATTCCATGCCGTCCCTGTCATTTTGTAGACTGAAGTGGGTGCTCTCTGATCAATTGAGTCGCATTGTAGAAAACATGACCAGTTCAAAAAGTCCAAATTTCTCAACACAATCTGAACATGGCTGCAGACACGGCAGACAAGACAAAGCACTCAATTTCTAATCTGCTTCGGACCTGAAGTGCTTCGCGCATTTACTATTTCTGTCCAGCTGCATTATTCCCCGTGGATTTTGTGGTATCTGGATCATCTTTGCTGATCGCCAAGCTCCACTTCCGTATCTTCAGGTTCCTCATTCTATCTTGGAACAGAGCCTCCCCCACTACAATTCAAGAGCGGTGGGGGAAAAATATATGAACGATGTGAATCCACATTTTGTAGTGGTACATTGTGTAAGATAGGACCATGGACAATCATATTGCAGTATTTGTTGTTTTCTTCCCTGTTTTGAGCCTGGGTTGTGCACTTGCGTTTTGTATCTCACACTTTCTCCAGATCCTTCATTTTGTAAAGATTTTGGAGGAAAAAACTACAAATGGTTGCCCAGACCCCTCCATCTCAATATCAAGGGAGATGCCTTTGGTGTTCCACCACCTTCTCTAACGTGCGTGCACCTGTCCGAGGCATGATCTGGTCTCTATCTCCTATGGCATCGGGGAAGTGGTGGGCGACTTCGTCCGGGACGCAGTCGCCTCAGTGGGCCGCAGTCCGGACGTGGGCGAGCCGGCGGCTTCAGGCGGTCGCAACATCCGAGCTTTTCGATCGCAGCTTCGCAGCTTCCTAGTAAGGCCAGGAGCGCCCCTACTAGCGTTCCGATCGCTCCGTTCGAGTCGCGATGCCCTTGGCTACGTTCGTAGGGTTCATGGTGACGTTGATGAGTACTCAAGCTGAGTGAAGGTAAGTGTCAGCATCTCGTGTATCCAGGAAGCAGGTCAGACTGCACAGGCCTGCGCAGCATTTCAGGGTCACACTGGTGGCCGTGGTTGGTGAAGTGGAAGCCTCTCAATTAGAAGTCGGGTGGTTGATGATTGATGAATAAGATCCCCGTGGCATGCAGATTTGAGCCTTCGAATGTCGCTACATCGTTGCCAGCCGTTTCTCAGGTGGTTTGCATTGGTGAGGCTGGTTTGCTGATTCTGGGTGCGTCGCAACATATCGCGAGATCTCTCACCCGAGATGCTAAAATTCGCCCCCGTTGTGACACACATCCACACACACAGTTTCCACGTTTACACACACATGGAAAGGCGCCTCAGACGACCCTCGACCGGAAACCATCTCATGCCGCCTTCCGCATCACTGTCGCCGCCTTCCGCGACAGGTCAGTGAGCCTCATTGTGCTTCAGCCCGCGTGGTTCTGGTGCCCTGCGAATCCGACGAAAACACGGGCCGCACGGGGCAAGTGGATCTCCGGTTGGTGAACCCGGTCGGAGGTTGATCTCAGAAGATTCTGTTGAGTCTGACTGCGGGGGCTCAGGGTTTGGTTTGGCTTTGGTTAACCATGTTAATTAGATTTAATTAGTTGTTATTAATTATATATATATGCAGATGCATGGATATTCATCTGATTTCGTGAGAATTATAACCTGCCCCGTTTCTACCTGCTCCTCTGTCAATCTTCTCGGTGGGGTCCGACATGGCCCGACTTTGATCGCTAGGTTGAACTCCCAGACTGCGGGCTCACAAGAATCAGAAGAATAGGACCCTCCTTTATTCCCCTGCAGCCACTTGCAGTTCCCCTTTTAAAGATACCACGTTGCTCCATCTCTAGTGTCACAGGTTGCAGCCTCACCCCCAAAAACAAAACCGCGGCCCTGGCAAAATTGGTGCCCATGACCTGCACAGCTACCACAGCTACTCACTACTCTTATGTTGGGCAATGGCAGCCATACATGACCAACCATCAAATAAGTAAAAAACAAAAAAGCAACCGAAAAAAAAATGAAAATGCAAAAGCAGCGCAATTTGCTTTGTTTTTGCAATTGTTTTGCTTTTTTGTTTTTTCCTGGTACCACTTCTGCACTTATGAGAACATTTACCCCTCAGCAATATTTGCTGTACGCTCCTAGGAAAAAGGTAAAAACGCGAAAACAATGCGAAAACATGCGAACATAAATCGAACAAATACAAAAATCAAGCGACAAAAGTAAGAAACAGACACGGCAAACACGCACAGCTACATGTTCTTACTTTTTTGTTTGCTTTACCCTTGTTTTTTGCTTTATATAATGATTGTGGTTCCTTGTATCTATGGCTGGCGCGCCCCACTCACTCCACCCAAACCCGCCAGGCGCAGCGGATGACGCCAGAGCCCTTTCAGCAGTTCGACTTCGACGGCGTCTTGGGGCTGGGCCTCCAGGGCTTGGCCTTGAACCCGGAGTTCCACTTCTTCAGCCCGGGCCAGAGTGAAAAAAAGCACGGACGGACTGGGACCGAATTGGGCAGAGGGGGTGTTGGGTTTGAAGCAGGGGTTGGACTTTCGGGTGGCAAGGCTATAACTCTTAAAAGCATCAGATTTGAGACAAGCTGGCAGGGGGCGTAATTAGGCGACTTTAACTGCACATTTGGTGGATTTGGGACTGGCTACTGGTTGCTTCAAAAAATATCACCGACCAACTGGTTGGTTCCATGCATTTTGTGAACGTTCTGGGCACCGCAAGCATGGTTGGTGGGTGGTTTGGAACATGGTTTATCCCTGTTTGGGACTGGTTGTGAACGGGATTCCATTGGATGCGTTCGATCAACCATCAGGTTTTTGTTGAAGATACCCCATCTTCTCTGGCCAGCCCACTCAGGTCAGCTGGCCAGCAGCATCGAACCCAGCTTCGGCGCGCGCCTGGCGCAGTTGTTCTGCAGCTTTTGAGGGGCTGGATGGGATGAAAGGGTGGAGAGGGCCCTGAGAGTCCAGACTACCTTGCAGGTACGGTAAGATGAGTCAGGATTCCCGAACCTGGGAGTTTTCCCAATACTTGTCATGAACATTCATGATTATGGATTGACATCACCCAGCGGCTGCTAAAGACGTTGGGATCCAACACCTCTTTTCTCCCACCAAACTGTTCCACCAAAAACGAAGCGTTTGGTAGTTCTCCGGGCTTCTCCTCAACCCCTCAACCCTTTGGGTGACCGGGTGACCGTCTGCCTGGTTCGCGCACCCGTCTGCCCGGCAGGTCTTTCTGGCGCGTCCAGGGTCGTCGGGCAGTTCGGTGACCTTCGGCGGTCATGATGCGCAGCGGATGCAGAGGCCCTTGGCGTGGGTGTGGAGGCTGAGGTGGTGGGCAAGAGCATGCGAGAGCTGGATGTGGGTGGGTTTGGAGGGGGGAGGATGGAGGATTTAGATGAAAAGGTGGGGAAGATGGGGATGAGGAGGTGGATGAGCCTGAGATGGAGATGGATGGGGTGGATGGATGTGCATGGGGTGGATGGATGTGGATGGTGATGGTCAGAGTGGAGGGGTCAATGGGTTAGCGTGATGAATGCAGTTTAACGTGTGGTGGGCTCCTGCCAAGAAGACTAGTAGTCCAGCCTAGCTTTTCTTGGGGATTGATTTGAGCCAAGATTGTTGCTTTGGTGGAGCCGGCGTCAGAGGGGTTGAAGGAATGGAATAGTTACAGTCCATGGCTAAGAGTCTTCTTTTGGTATAGTGGCCAATGGAGCTCCAGAGTCTTAGGGTTCGAGGAGGATGACATTGCTCCATCTTCAGCTACAGTTTCAAAATGTTTCAAAGGTCAAGAGAGACTCTTGAGGCAGACCCTGAGAACAGAAGAAGTACCCATGATCCAATATCCCTCTATGACATGAGAGGGTCAACCCCCCACATATTGTGTGTGTCACACGATAGTAACTTAACTAGGTGAAACTAGTAAAATAGGCTCAAGCCTTTGAAATGAATTTATAGGTGTGTAGTTATGACACATTGCAGGTGTTTACACAACAACCAAAACTGGTGTCAATACGTTTGATTTCATAGAGTGGATGGGACGAGGATAGACGAGTTGAAAAGATGGTGGTGTCAGCCCTTTTCACTTCAGAAAGGTCATTAAGTGTTAGTTGCTTGTGATCACTTTTTTAAATATGCTGTTCATGGGTCAAGGCCTGAGATTGTCCGGTTTAGCTTGTAGGGTGGACCCCCTGAATTTCGGTTTACCGCCCCCAAGTATATCTACAAAATGGCGAGACCTACCCCTCAATTTGGAAACAGAGATGAAGAAGAGGTCTTTGGGAGACTGATGGTAGATGTTTTCGGCCCATACCTCTGCCACGGTCTCGAAAAGGGGATTTCATGCTCGGCCAGCCACCGGTCAGTCACCTCCGCCTTTCCAAGGTCCCGGTCTCCTTGAAGGAGCAGGGCTACTGGGCCGCCAGCGGCCTCAGCTCATCCTGTCGAGACGGGTGGGAGCGCGTCGCACGCAGTTTTCACGAGTCGGGGAAGCCCTGTCCATGTCCTTCGTGTGACGTGTTAAACTGGACGTCAGTGCGGGACTGTTCATGAAGTTCTGCAGCATGAAGAAAAAGCAAGCCCTTGATGTCAATGATTCTCGATGTTGCTGTAGGTCTTGGCCTTTCTTTGGCCGAAATCGCGGAGTGCCAAGACCCCCAACAGGGAAAGCCCCGAGCATCCAATGAAAGCCTATCTCCAATTTGTGGCACTACTTGGAGCTTCTGGGTCAAACCACCCTCCCTGGAATCATAATGGCTACGTTAAGTGACCACCTGTTGGGATCGGATCTTCGATTCTGGTCATCGGAGCCTGACAGGGGCCATGCCATCCCACGGGCCCCATGAGGAGTCCAGCAGCTCTGTACATGACCCACTTTCTCATCTTGGGGCTTATGCGCCACGGATCGAAAGCTCAGTCCAGCCGCAGACCCTGAAGCGGCACGTCGAGGGAAGAGCCGCAGATGGACGTTCCTGAGGTTCGCGTAACAGCCGTGCGTGCGGGAGGGAAGATGCTGCCCCTATGCGAGGAGCTGACATCACACTGGAGAAGGGAAGATGGATGGTTAGCTGACCGTCGTAGTTGAGTCATGGCCTCCAAAATGTGTTTGGACGGCATTAGCGTGAGAAGGGCAGACATGGGCTAAAGTGTTCGTAACCTTTCCCGAATTGATAACCTGCAGCCCCCCATGAAGCAGGTGCATGTTAGTGGCTTTGGCTGGATGTTGCTTCTTTCTCGTTCCCAAGAACCAACCGACATTTGTCCTATCTTCTCACTGAAAAGGTCAGGATAGCCCATGGGTGTCTAGGGGGCACAGCTGGCTAGCTGCTAGATTTCGCCCCACCAACTGAAGAGGTGCGAAGTAGTTGGAAAAGCCGGGCCTGCCTGGGTGTTGTTCCAAAGATGACTGTAATGGAATGGCGCAGGATGGCACCTGCCATGCCATTGTGGACACTGGGACCTCGCTCTTGGGTGTCCCTCGGCAGGCAGGGCCCCTTCACCGCCGGAGTGAGCATTAGCGGAAAACATCCGCGTGCACCAGAGAGAGAGAGAGAGGGATGTTAAGATGGCCTTCTCTCCTCCACCACCACATTGATTTGGCTGACCAAAAGAACGAGATGAAGACTCAAAACATGCAGATATATCATTGGGGCCCTTTAGTAACCTCTTCGTTTGATACCTTCTTTGTCTGATCCACCCACATTCAGGCAGCTATAGAAAACTAAGAAACACTAAGAGTTCTTAAATGTAACTATGTTTGACTCTGCTCAGATCTTCCTTTCACATCAGCTCAACACTTCACAACAGGCTTAACTTGAGACTTCCTTGCCACCATCTCAAGGGGCTTTGCCTGCTGCTCCAGGAAAGCCACCAAAAGCACCATAAGGGCCACCAGCCATGGCATTCATTCCTGGCCTCAACTCTCAATGAGATTGACTGGCAGTTGAGTGGGCTCCACAAGCACCACATAACCTACACCTCTTCACCTGACTCTCACACATCACTAGTGCAACCTGAGGACCTTTGCATCCAAGGTGGCATCCAGGGTGGCATCATCCCATAATTGGGATCCAAGCCCTCACCTACCCTGACCTTCTTTGAACGAGGCATCTTCAGGTCTTGATGGCAAAAAAGGGCTGCACAACAAACCCAGCAAGTGGAGCCAAGCAAGCAACCCACCAAGCCACTCTGGTTGGTTTCTGACTTCAGAAAATCTTAGATTTTCTTAGGCCTGTTTTTTGGCCAAAGAATATATCAAAATGAAGACCATACTAAAGAGCTTCTAAGAATATATACCAGGACACCCTAAGGGGTGTCTATTGATAGCCCCCTTAGAGGTGATTCGGGGTGTCCATTCACCACCCCGACAGTGGGTCCTAGTACTTCGTATTTCTTCTACAGCAGTTCTTAAAGCTTTTGGGGCCCGAGTCTCTCGCCCTGCTTCACCTATAGGCGCCGAACGCTCGCCGGAGGCGATGGCCTCGCTCTTGGCCGCGACGGCGCAGAAGGTGGAGGCCATGGAGGCCGTGAGGGTGCCAGTGGTGCAGATGAGGGCATCAGTGGTGAGGGCGCTAGTGGTGCCTTTACTTGGGGATGATTGAACCCACTGACATATGTTTCAAGTGAGTTGAAACCACCCACGCCGTGACCGCCGTTTCATGTAGACCTATGAAGAGGTTGTACATGGTTTTACAATCCAATGAGGTAGTTCGTTAAGAGCCGAGATTGATGCATGTTACTTCCTGGAAACCATACACAAAACCACTCAATGAGGTAAAGTACCTGGTTTTAACTGGGTCTTGGGACCTGTAGGGCTATTTCTTTGTCCTCTGCTCCTTTCATCCAAGAACTAGAGTTGATTTCAATTAAAGGCACGTCCACTCGCCGGACGCAGAAAGGTGATATGCGGAAGGGATTGGGCTCTTTGCCTTTCAACTGTGCCAAAATATGGACAAAAATTCTGCCAGTGAAGATATTGACAGTGGCATTCCCGGAATGAACTCAATGAACTTCTGCCCCCCGCCCCCCCGCGGCATGAAGCAAATCATCCATACTCATCCCAAATCCCCACAATTTGATGCAGGGGAGAGAGAGAGAGAGAGCGAGCGCAAACACAACGTCGGAGCGGCACCGCCCGGGGCGAGGATTGTGGCTCCTTGGTGGGTCCCGCCTTGACCTTTGAGCTGGCTTTGCCCTTAGCACCTCCGAGAGCACGTCGCTTTGGTCATACGCGGTTCTCGCACATAACCGAAACGCTGGTCAAAGCCGTGACCCCCCAGGTCACCATGCCCCTTTGGTGGTTCTATTCGGTTCTTTTGGTGGTCAGCCCGGGTTGTGTTAGGCGCCATGGATGTTGATCTACAATAACCACATTCTGGATGAGGTAAGATCGGTGGATGTCATGGCCTCATGAGCGTTGCAAGTCATGACAGTGAGTGGGTCGGGGGATGACCTATGTTGAGACCATGTGGATCCGAATCCAGGACAGCGAGATCCTCAGGGCTCTCGTCAGGGCTCTCGTTGGTGTTTGTTTGACATCGATCTCGTTTGAGATCTACTGTATACCTAGAACCTCATTAGGCAATAGGCAGACACTTCTGCCCAAGAAGAGGTTCTACCAGCACCCTCCAACAGGTCACTACCTGCGACTTTTAAGTTTCAAAAGCCACCGCACAAGACCTGTTAGAGGGTCCTGGTAGGTATTTGTTAAATATGTGTGGCTGATTGACGTGGTGTGCCCGGTTCAAAACATCAAACACCGTTTCCCTATCAAAGATGCCCTGCGACCAGTGTGCCATTCCAGATGCCAAGCGCACACTGCAATATAACTCCGAGAAACCTTCGAACCTGATCAGTGGCACATGTGCGCTGAAGGGTTCACCTCAGCAGCAGGCCCAGGTCGTTGATCTCCTAAACCAGGACCTGTACAGACCTGTACAGACCCCAAAACTTACAGATATCAGATGAGTTCCGACCCCCGCAAAAAAGTATCCAAATACCTATATATATATAAGAAGAGATGAGATGAGTCAGTTGTAATATCCATCCATTCCTTCTCTCCATCGCCCTCCCTCCCTTTGTGGCCGCCACTCGGTTGGCCAGCGTCACCCCAGGAGAGCGGTGCCAGCGTCACCCTGGAGTCGCAGGACTACTGGAGACCAGCACCGCCAGGGGGCCCGAGCATCCAGGTCTTTCCGGGTCCTATTGATCGCTATTGATGGTCACTGAACCGAGCGAACGGGTATTTGTGTGGTTTTAGGAATGCGGAGGATTTCTTTGGAGCGATGCCCCAGATAGACTGGATGTCCCAATAGCTTGTCTTGTTCCCTTCATGTGCATTTATGATATATAATATGGATTGCTCATTGTGGTGTGTGGTACAGCCGGGTTTGACCCGCTCACGTGCCCCTGCCTGTGTGAGCACGTGTGTTCTTAGGGGCCATTTGCACCGGAGGAGGCCCATTGAAACAAGATGCCTGGAAGTGTAGACGATCATTAGTCTGTCTACATTGTACATATATAGGTTTCCGATAGGTTTGCAAGTAGTTCAAGTTCCCTGGCGTGGAGGGACACGAGCAGGCAGGAATGCGATGATCTTGTTAACCTCGTTGCAACTTCCAGACATGACATGAGCATTCTTCTTTATCAGGCTCGAACCAGGAGGGCAGTATCGGTGTGTATGACACATACGACCCATCAAGACTCCAAATGAAAGCCACACACCACCTAAAATTGAACTTCTACATTCTACTGTGCCTTCTCTTCACCTCTCTAGCTGTGATTCCTGCCATGCCCCGCTCCTCCAGCCGCAGCCGTGGCCGGCGGAGCCCCCCGCGGCGCCGCGACAGCCGCCGCCGCAGCCCCCCACGGCGCCGCAGCCCACCGCGGCGCCGCAGTCCACCGCGCCGGAGCCGCAGCCGACGGCGCAGCCCGCCGCGGCGTAGCCCTCCGCGGCGTAGCCCTCCGCGGCGCACGTCTCCGCGGCGTGGGTCGTCCGAGCGGCGGTCCTTTTCACCGGAGTGGCGGAAGAAGGAGTGGGGATGATGTGGTGGATCTGGTGGCCACGGATGGTTTTGACCATGTTTTGACCCCGTGTCAATGGAGGCTTTGTGAAGAGGTCACTTAGCTTGAAGCGCATGGCGTGGGTATCGTGGGTAGTTGGATTGATGTCGACGATTTCGATGTGTCTCAAGTGGTGGCCCGGCACTTCGCTCCGCTGCGCTGTTCCTGCGTCCTGTTCCATCCTCCGCCAAGGCCCGATGAATCCCAATTTCCACACTTCCATACCCAAACGCTCCTTGTATGGCATATTTACTCTCCCTGGAATTAACATGGAAGTGGAAAACCATGGAAAACCACCTGTTTGTAGTGGAAAATAGTCTTCCAAGGGGCCATTCTCCACTTCCATGTGAGTTCCAGGGGGCATAGGTATCAAAAAAAAAAGAGCATAAAAATAAAAATAAAAACAGGATCAAACAAAAATGCCGCGTTGCCATTGTACGTATAGTGCGTTGGCAGCAGTTAGAATATGGTTTTAGTGAATTCTAACTGCTGCCAACTCACTATATAGTGCTTACATTGGGTGTTGTCATTGCGTGTTGTCAGTGTCAATACACGCGCCGTTGGGCTGGGCTGTTCTGCGTCGATGCATGAGTGGGTTGTCCGGACCTATCCAGCGACCTCGACCGGCGCAAAGACAGGGACACCATGGGACACCGGGACACCTGCAATATGTGGGTCAACACCCTGAAGCTTGCTCTATAGCATGTAGCTTGACCTCCCAGTATCAAGTGTAGTGTTCAGGCCGAAATCATCGGGCACTTGGTCACGACCCCCAATGTCGACCATCCGCTAGGTAGACGTTCAAACCACATGTCTTGCAGGTGTTTTAGAGATGCTAACTCCATGTAACTCCTGACATGGACCTACTTTCGGAGCTCCAACATGCTCCAACCCCTGTATGATCTACCCAATCTCCACATGAAGCTGCTGGAGCCGCTCTCCATCGGAAGCTAATAAAAAGCGAATCAACAAAAAAATCCTTGATAGGCCTCTTCTGCTGCTCTCCTGGCCTTGTGGTCTGCGGGTCCTCTGGTAATGTGGTCCTTTGGTCCCTTGGTCCTCTGGTCCACTGGTCCTTTGAACCCCTGGTCCCTTGGTCCTTTAGTCCACTGGTCCCCTAGTCCTCCGGTCTCCTGGTCCTCTGGTCCTGTGGTCCGCTGGTCCCCTGGTATCCTAGTCCTTCTGTCTCCTGGTCCGCTGGTCTTTTGCTCTCCTACGGCGCTCGTCTGTCGATCTCCTGGTCCCCTGCTTGCGCAAATAGAGGCTTGATTGCTTTCTACTAGAGGCAGCTCCCTGGGAAGAAAGTAGGTACCCAACGATAAGGTTGCCGTCCAGTCATTGAGTAGCCCTACTCGAAAAATGGTTCACCAGTGGAAATAGCTCCCTACTAGGAGGGAGCTCCTGGGGAGGTACACTCTCCTCTACTACCCCAACCATCCTCAGTGGGCTAGAATATTTATTTTTTGATTACCTTTTTTTTTTTTAATTGATCCCCGTTGAATATGTTTTTTGATTCTATTTTTTTTATTTTGATCCCTTACCCGTTCCAGTCAATGCGATTGGACACCAAAAAAAACAGTCCCATGGAGCGTTTGGGATACATTCCAACTCCAGGAGGCCAAGAAGGAGCCCCAGGCGCAGGAGTCCGAGAAGGTGGAGACCGCCGAGGGCTCCGAGGAGATCTCCATGGGCGTGGTGGACGGCATCCCCCGCAGCAGCGGCGAAGCCACCTACCGCGCCGAGGTCTGAGTCGGGCTGGGCTGAACGCAGCAGGTGAGAGGAATTGGCTCATGTTTTTGTTGGTTTCATCCTTCCTCCTTCAGCGTTTTCGAGGTTCAACTTGAAATGTTCGGAGGATAGTGTTCAGTAAGTTTCGGTTGGTGGTGTTCGGAGTAGTGTTCGGTTGGACAGAGGATGAAGATGTTTGTTCTACTCAAAATTACTCAATAATGCCATGTCCGTTGCTTCGCGGCCTCTGTGATGCAACTAGTTGGTCCGGAGTCCGCAAGTTCTTGCACCTCAGGCGGTGCCGATGAGTGAGTGCAAATCCAGTACTCTCTCACTTACTTGCTCGGTGAATGCAGGCAACGCTTTATGGATTTTTACTTGCAGTTTCGTGCTTCTGGTGATGACGCATACACAAGTTGGACCATATGCGTCCGTTCACGTCGCCGGATGATCCAAAGAGAGAACGCCCCTTTCATTCTCGCCCTCTCTCTCCCGCAGGTGAACGTGCCCCGCGAGAACGGAGGTGCTGGACCCTTGGGGAAGCGAGGTCTCACAGCGGTCCGTGGGCCGAACCGGATCCTTGGCCGGTTGTGGGCTGGGCGTGACGGGTACCTCGGTTTGGCACGAGGGAGCGAGGCATATGGCGCCAACCACTGGAACGGTTTGGGTCATTGGATCAATTTAAGGGCAGATGGCGCCAACAAATCTAACAAACATAAAGAGAAGGGGTCCTTGGCCTCTTCAGGCGTGGGTCGTCCGAACCGGAGGTCCCGGACGGGACGTGGGTGGCCGGTTTCATGGCACGTGCCGTCCATGAGAGGCGCAAAAAGTGAGGCTCCAACAACTGGAACGTTTGGGGTGGATCGGTGGATCTTGATGAAAAGGGGATGATGTGCCAACCAGCAGAAAGAGAATGCAAAGACAATGGAAACTGTAGGAGCTCCAATTCTGCTCGGTTTTGATTGTTGAATTCCCTGACAGATAACTCGGACACCGATGGCTGAAAACAATGATGTCGCAGGTTGCAGATGTCGCAGGGATTTGATCAGGCATTGCAGTCAGAGCATTTCATCCTTTTGGCTCGTTTTATATAGGGATCCAGGGCCCTTGATTCATTCTGGGAGGGAGGCTTTGGGTATGTTTGGGTTTAAGGTCTGGAGTTCGGGTTCAACAGCGGATCCATCCGACCCGGGCGGTTTCCGCGGGGCGCGCGGGAAAGCGCCGTCGGACCGATGGGTGCGGATGTCCAGGATCGATCGACAGAAAGCGCAGGAAGACGTGAGGACTTTAGTGGATCCTCGGCCGTAGATCGGGAGGGTCAGGGAGGGGCAAAGATCGGGTTCAGAGGTAGCTGATTGGACCATCCAAAAGCTGTGCTTGAGCATGTTCCTTCTTCTTTGTAAGCTTAGGGACCGGCCAATTGGTGGCAACACGTCTACCAACGTCTACCGGAACAAAACGGCATTGAGCTCGGTCTACATCTTAAAACGGGTGGGAAGGGTGAACACATACACTTTCTGAAAGAATCGTTGGACTGGAAAACCTAGTTGTTGTTTTTTTCTTGGCCGCAAGGATCCCCATGTTCAGAACGGTGATCGGTTACCAATCAATTTCGTGTTCCAGCTGGGTGTAGGGTGTGGTCCACCAACTGTGGATGCACTACTTGTGCTTGGGTGTTTGGTGCTCATTCCTATCTCATTCCTTTGCCACCTTTGATTGACTGCTGGGGCCAGTTCCCCACGTAGCCTGAAGCCAGTTCCTAAGGATGCTTACAAACGAGGAGGACGGGAGGGTTGGGTCGATGATGCTCTACAAAACGTGCCACAACTGAATGGAGGTGAAGGATCCAACGGATTCAACAGATCCAACAGACCCTGGCCGACATGTGGGTGCACAATGGGGCTCGGACCAAGTAACTTATCCCAAAATCAATCAACGTGCTATTCACCCATAGCTCTCGACACACTCCTTATCCTTGAAGATCAACTTCGACGGTAAGATCATCTTGGCGGGTACCAGCTGCTTTCGCAAGATCATGTACCTCGTTAACATGGACCCTGAGTCCAGCACTGGTGCAGCTAGAGGAAACCAACCCGCCTGCCATTCGGGTGCTCAAACAATGCTACTCAAACCACCAGGGTCCATGTTTTCGTGTTCGTGTTCGTTTTGCACCTAGACGATGCAGCCCCCACCTGGCACCTGGCATATCATGTTCCCATCCTTGGCAGCTTAGAGTAGACCCATCGTTCCATGAGACTGAGTTGACATCGCACCAAACCCGGTCTCCGAAATGGGTTGGTCTCGGTGAGGCCCTGTTGCAGGTCTCGGTGACCTGGTTTCAGTCGGTGCTGGTTGGTCTGACCCAATGACACCTCCATGGTGAGACTCAGTCCCATTCCTTTTGGGCGACCGTGTGGACCCGGCCCCGAGCCTCGCGGCGCACGCGAGTTCCTGGTGTGTGACGCCGCGTCAGAGGGGCGTTTGGAGTGTTTTCAGGACCTGTAGAGCTGAGGAAAAGGCAGAAGGAGTTGAACCGATCGTGGGTGAATTAAGGCGGCGTCAGGGTGGCCCCCCCGTGGTGGTCAAGGCAGGGCCCTGAAGAAAGGATCAGACATGTCAGCAGATCCCCTGTTGAAGATGTGAAGAGGGCGAAGACCTATCAAGGACCTAAGGTCGCACCCACCTGATAGCTGATACTCGTAGTAACAACTTGGTGGTTTACTACAGTTGACAGGTTTTTGGAACTTGTGGCATGGGGGGCCAGTTCCCAGCCTGGTCGTAGAGTGATATGACGTGCACATATTTCGGCCAACTGTGTCACTTCGCGCGGACGAGAAGAAAGAATTGGAAGGGTGGCAGTGGTTGGTTTGGGTTTGGGCGTGCCCTTCTCCTAGGCCATACTCCCAAACAGCTGGAGAGGCCCCCAAACGGCTCACCATTTAGATTGTCGGCTTTGGAAGAGCGTGGAAGAGGGTGACTCGTGGGAGGATGCTGCTGGAGAGAAGTCCACGTTTGGTGATCCTGAAAACCCTACAGCTACTGTACAAAATTGCATTGTGGACTGTGTGCGTTTTCTGTATATTCACGGACTTTATTGTTTATATATTGACATTTCACTGCCAAGGAAGAATGGAAGACAAGTAGACAAGTCTGCTTTCCCAGCTTGGTGACATGGTGGTAGTGGCTGTTTTCGCGGAGTTCTCCCGTAGCCATTGCCAAGATGCCTTTCTGCTGAGTTCCAACCCTACAGTTCTTCTTTATGACCAACACAAATTGAAAAAACCCTCCAGTAGGCCCTATAGACTATCCGGTACCCCATAGGTACGGGTCCTAGTATGTGCTATAGTCACGTATACCCTCCCCTCAAATCACACCCGTCGCCCGCGCTCACATCGCCCACTTTCTAAGGACCGAAGTGAAGAGTGGGACGAAACGATCCTTGCTGTGTCGGGCCTTGTTCCTGCCCGTCCGGGACACCCGGGACACCCGGGAGCGCGAGACTCTCGCATCGTGAAACGAAGAAGACGACGGGCTGTGGGTCAAAAGGAAGCACCCGGGCCCGGTACCCTCTTGTTCTGGTCGCTGGTGGTGGCTTTTGGAACATAACCCGGCTTTCACAGTTGCATATTTTGACATGTTGTGGGTTTGGCCACGAGGAGACCCCATCAACAGCAGGGTATTTGTGTATTTGTCCAGGTTCGTGGAGTAGAGCTGGGCTGCGCCAGGCCTTGGCGTATAAGTTTCCAATATAAGATATCACGAAAGGTAGCCCTTTAGGGGATACCTTGAGTTTGTCTTGCGAAGCAAGTGTTGGGACGTCCGGGTCTAATAATTGATCGCTCAATTCAGACCCCCCCCACCCCCCTGAAATGTAGAGGCCTACTTGTACAGGTTCCACTCCAGTGGCCTATCTAGTGTGTCCATGCTTGACTGCCATAAGGCTCAAGACGCTAAGAGGATAAGACTCTGCGCATAAAAGACACTAGCGGTCTGCACCTCAACCGTGTACGCCCTAGTCACTCTTTCAGTGGTAGCGGAGCAGTGATCCTGGAAGACCCAGGTGAGCTCCCTTCCTAGGCATAGAATTGCTTGTGGGCAAACGGCCATGGATTGGATTGACGACTGGGAAGAGCCTGATGCGGATGTGGCTTATGAGCCAGCAGCCTACGTGAATAGGCATGTGAGAAGAGAACCAGCAGCTATAGCAATGACAACACAGGTCACTACAAAGGTGCCCCCATCTTATGATGGAAAGACTTCATGGTTTTCCTATGAGGATGCCATAGACGATTGGTGTGATATCACCGAGCTGGAGGATGAGAAGAGAGGACCAGCATTGAGGAACAGATTAGAAGGAGAAGCAGCTGTATACAAACGTATATTAGACAGAGATGCATTGAAGGCGAATGATCCACCAGGAGCAGGAGTAGAATACTTCAAACGAGTACTACGTCCATATTTTGTGAAAGGATCCACCAATGTATTCCTGTATAGGTTTATGCAATTCGTGCGCTTCAATCGCGGATCAGCTGATATGATGAAATGGATGACAAGATTTCAGATCCTACTCCAAAGGCTTATGAGCAGTTGGATGGACATGTTGGATCCAGTAACACAAGTACATCCTCAGGTACAAGCTCAGATGCAAGCAGATGCAGCGATGACTGGAGTAGCTCCAACAGCAGAAAGAATTCAGGAAATCATGCAGAATGTCAATGGCAATATGAGAATTCTTCATCAGAACGATTTTCCTTTAGGAGAGAATCTCATTGCCTTACTCATGCTGTCACTTGCGGATTTGTCTCAGGACCAGAGGAACACTTTGACCTCCTTGATGACCCATCGTGGTAGAGTCCTGCAGCAATACACGACAATAGAGTTGAGGACAGTCTTCATTGAGATGTTCTGCACAACAAAGACTTCAGTAGACAATCCTCTGATGCAGCCAACAGGTGCTGGAGGTAGAAGATCATTTCTCGTACTAGACGAAGGAGAACTCGATGGTACATATGGCTATTGGGCCGAAGATGAAGAAGATGGAACAGAAGGATTCCTAGGTGCCCTAGACGATGTCTTTTGGGTATATGATGAACAGAATTTCTCTTGGTTCCAGAGGAGATTCCAAGGAAGAAGAGCCAGAAAAGGCAAAGGAAGATCAGGCCGCAGATTTTTCAGACCTCGAGGAAAAGGAAAAGGAAAGAGACGAGGTAAAGGCCATTATGCTGATGAGCAATCAACAACTTATCCAGATGAGTATTTTGAAGAGAATCCTTATGAGGACACTTGGGAGTCAAACCAAGTAGCATATGATGCTATTCTTGCCGAAGATATGAATGACTATCTTCAAGGAGAATATGAAGATGCCAATGACTTTTGGCAACAGCTTGAAGAAGCATGGTTTTCCCACAAAGGAAAAGGAAAAGGCAAGAGAAAAGGCAAGAAAGGAAAAGGAAAAGATAAAGGAGATGGCAAACAAGATGCAAACTATGCAAATCAACAACAGCCACGTTCTTTACCTGCACCTTCGAGAACTTCACAAGCATCAGGAAGCAACCAAGGTTTCTTTGCGCATTGTGTGACAACAGCAGCTGAAGTCCATGACAGTGAGGTGGACTTGCTGTCAGGCATGATGACCTCATGTCAAGATGAAGCTGACTGTAAGGTCAACAATGGTGAGACGATCTTCGATGACATGAGTGCCCTTGTGAGGTACTCTTTGTCAGAGGAGATGCTCACAGATGCTCCTGATGGCTTTGCGCTTATGAGCACTGAGGAAGAAGTGAAAGAGATGCAGGCTATTTCATTTTTGACTGAGAATCGCTTCCCGCCAACTATTGCAATCCTGGACATTGGATGCACTAGAGCTATGGGATCAAGGCGTGCAGTCGATTATTTTTGTAACTATGTCGACAATCATCCAGACTGTGGACTATGGTACTCTTTTGAGTCCACCAAGAGCAAATTTTACTTTGCCAATTCTCAGAAGGCTTCTTGCTCTCAGAAACTGGTGATTTACATGTATGATCGTGCATGGACGATCCACCATACAGAGTTCGACATAGTTGAAGAAGGAGAAGTCCCTTTGCTTATGAGCTTGCCACAGCTGAGAAACTTAGGCTTTGAACTCAGGCTGACACCTCAACATGCTTATCTGACATCGGTGCCTCTTGGTATCAAGTTTTTGGAGTTGAAGGTTGCAGCCAGTACTCATCTTGTTTTGGACTTCCAAGATATTGCATGGTATCTGTCTGACGTGCGTTTGCAGGCTCGGCGCGAGAAGAGCTTTTACTCTCACTTCACTCACTATG